TGTGATATTACACACCTTGAACCACATAAGAGGAAAGAACTCATAGAAATTTTAAGAAGGCATACCAACCTAAGATCTGGTATTCCAAAAATTGCCAATGTTAGAGAACATAACATCAAACTAAAGCTTGGAAGTGTGTCAAAGAAGCAGAAACCATATTGGATACCTGAAGTTCTAAAAAATGAAGTTGATGGACAAATAGATGAGCTGTTACAGCTAGGGCTAATTGTTGAGTCAGTGAGTGAATATGTGTAGCTGGTAGTTTGTGTATCAAAGAAAGACGGAACCATGAGATTATGTGTAGACTATCGGTACCTGAACTCACAGATGAAAACTGATGCCTTTCCGACGAAAAATACCGTAGACCTAATTTATCAAGTGTCAAAAGTCCAAATACATCACTTTGATTGATCTAGGTAAAGGATACTGGCAGATACGACTGAACCCTGAGTGCCAAACTTTCATGCTGTTTGTGATGCACAGAGGACAATATGCCTTTTTAGTTTTACCCTTTGGATTAAAAATGCCGCCGCAACTTTTCAGAGGACTATGAACAAGCTTCTCGCCAAACATAAAGAGCATGCTGATTCTTATATTGATGACCTGATTATATTTTCTGATGATTGGAATACACAACTGAAACATATTAACAAAGTCTTAAGTACGCCAAAAAAAGAAAATTTCATGGTTAATTTCAAAAAGTGTGACTTTGCAAAGCATAAAACCAAATTTCTAAGACACATAGTTGGTTCTGGTTCACACGAACCTGACCCAGAAAAAGTTGAAGCCAACAAAATTTAGAAGTTCTCCCATACTAAAAAGATGTAAGAAGTATTTTGGGACTATTGTCATATTACCGATCTTACGTACCCAATTTTTCTGCAATAGCACAACCTTTAACTGCATTGATGAAAAGAAGAGCTTCGAACGCAATTACTTGGCTGAAGGAACATGATGAAGCATTTATTCAATTAAAACGTGCCATTTGCAATGCTATTAAATGTTACTCTCCAAATTTTAGTTTGCCTTTCATCATTTATGCAGATGCATCAGCATATGCCGTAGTAGCTTGTTTGGCTCAGCAGGATGAAAACAGCATAGAACACACAATAGCCTTCACTAGCAAAATGTTGACTGAGACGCAGAGAAATTATACTTTTATTGAAAAGAAAGCATTTGCCATTATCTTTGCCCTGAAGAAATTTGAAACTTATATCTTTAGTTCTGAGATCGTCATCGTTAGTGGCCCTAACCCTCTCAAATTTCTCACAATGTTCCTTCTCATTTACAATGTCTCATTTGCAATGTTCTCATTTGCAACACTGGTCTTTAGCATTACAACGATTTCATGCAGTGATTACACACCCAAAAGGAAAAGATCATGTTAATGCAGACTCATTATCTCAATTAACTGCCTCTGACTGGAAGCATGACTGAAAGTCAATAACTTTTGAAATGTTATGAACTATGACTATTTAGTTTGAACATTTTTTTAGAGCTAAAATGCTATGCTTTTTATTTTTTTAACGTTATGCAATATGTTTAATAATTTAGCTAGGGTTTGCTGAAGTATTATGTTTAATTTTAATGATTGATTTATATTGTCTTGTTTATATGAGGATTGCTTATATGATTATGATGATGTGAAAGAATCAAGTTAAAGGTTTAAGTTTGAAAAGTTAATTTTGAATGTTACATCTTTTAAATGATTAAGATTACTGAATATATGTTGAAGTAACTTTAATTTTAAATAGTAAAAATTGGTTAATTAAGTTCAAAAATTCCGTTTTTTGTTTGTTTTGTTTCAAGAAATGTTTATGTGTGGATTTGACAGGTCATTAAAAGATGCAATCAAATCTTTTACAGGGAAAATGTGTGACTACGCATGCCCAGTTTAGCCAACATTAGAAGAGACATTACATTAGAAGAGAAGAGACTGATAGTAAGGAAGTAATGAAAACAACCCACTATATGTCAACATAATGATAAACATAGTTCTATTTCTATTTTTTGTGTTAACTATGTGTTTTTTTTTTTTTTTTTTTTTTTTTTTTTTTTGTGTGTGTGTGTTAATAAAGTGTTCATGCTGTTAAATGTCTGTTACATGCAGTGCCCACATTACGCTCACGTCTACATTAAGCAGGAAATATATATATCCAGAACCCATGCAGAAGTAATGTACGACACATAGAAACTCTAATTTTAATTCTAAAAATTGTTTTTCTTAACTGTTTTCAAATGTATTTGGTCTTTTTATATTGATCTGTATTTTACAATTTTTAATGACGATTTTTTGCGTTTTTATGCATTTTTGCCATGCTGCAAAGTGAGAACTGAATTAACTGAATGAGAAATATATCTCTAATGAAATTTGAAGAAATAAATTTAAATGAAATGCACAAAGAATGTGTATAATTTCATTATAATGTATAATTTAATAGGCCATGCAAGGGAGTCCTGTGCTGTCCACATCAGATTTTTTTGCTTTGTACCAATGTTTTTCTAAAGTTTAATATCAGATTTTTTTGCTTTGTACCAATGTTTTTCTAAAATTTAATCTGATTAGAACTTCTTAGTGACTGAAGGCTATGTAATTTATAGCACGTGTATCCCATACTACGAATCATGTACTTTGAATTTTGACCATGTTTTTGAATTATTAAAATTTTAATTGCAATTAATTGACCTGTGGTTTTCATTAGCTAGCTGATTCTAATTAATCATTGTTCTGTCTTTAGCACGAAGTACGTTTGACAACATGAATGCTAATGTTTTTCATGATTTAGAGTGAAAAGATACGAAAGCTATAGCTGATTGGTGTATGAATGAACATTTAATTAGTTATCCTATGAATGTCAAGTTTGCGTGAAAGATGCATCTGATCGAACTTAAGGATCAATCGGACGGATATGAGTGGGTTTGCTACAAGAAAGGCATTCAAAACTGGCGCTCATACCAACACTACTGAGGTCATGTACAGCCAATCAGGAGAAGGAGAATCAATTCTAGGAGTACTTGGTTTGCATAATGTATGCACAGTAGTCATCTGATGCTGACATTGAGATGTATCCACCACATGAGATGAGTATTTTTATAGCATACATTTTCGGTGTTTTTTATATGACAGGTGTCATAAAAATCACCAATAATATCAAGGGGTACCCTATTGTGAACTTTTACATGAGATGGAGATGCCTCGAAAATTTCAATCAGCTGAGAAGTTTCCTGGGTCTTTGCACTTACTGCAGGAGATTTGTGAATGATCCATCGCAAGACACCCTTCACAAGCTGATAGACAGCAAGCAAAAGTTCTTGTGGACAAAAGAAAGTAAGGATGCCTTTCACAAACTAGAGGAAGCTGTAACATCTGCGACAATCCTGATGTATCCTCAGCTCGACAAACTATTTATTCTTGACACGGATGTGAGCAATGAGAATGTCGATGCTGTTTTGTCCCACAAAGTAAATTGGCTAGAATATGTCACAGCATACTGGAGAAAATGTCTGTCTCAGCCAGATAGGAATTACTGTGACAGCAGAAAAAACTTAAAGCCATAGAACATTTCCATCATTACCTCTATGGCAGAAAATTCCTGCTCCACAAAGACCATGCTCTGTTGACCTGGCTCTTAAATTTAACGAAACCTTAAGGCCAAATAGCCAGGTAGATACAAAGAATACGACATAACTATCGGTCATCAGAAAGGATCATCACATGGATACGCTGATGTCCTGTCTAGAATGCCCTGACTAGAAAGTTGCCAATATTGTTCCTGGATTGACGGGAAAGACGAACTGCTTAATCCAGTTGCACGACAATTTACAACTTCAGGGTGACCGAGACCGATGGATTGATGAAGAAGTCAGAAAAGATGGTGACATTACACCCATAACTGACTTAATGGAGTCTGGACACCTACCTGGCAAGGTCATTTCAATCATAGTCTTATGATAAAACAGCTACTAGAACTACAGTCAAGGAACAAACCAAAGAGAGAGTTTCTGCCGTTGCCAAAGACATTGACACTTTAAAAAAATGCACAGCAACAGCAAGAAGCAATTCTGATGGTTTTACATTTTTACCCATGTCTTCTCGTCCCTTTTTGAAGCTATCCGCATATAACAGAAAGACCTTCTGGCAAGTGCATTGGACACAATTTTTCCATAGTGGTAGACATAAACGGATGGGATTCCCAAGCTAAGACTTTTCATCTTGCCACTTCTCTGAGAGCAGACACAGTGTATATCCTTCAAACTCTACCCAAAAACCAGAAGCTAGATTTTGAAGCACTATCCAGGATGTTGGAGCAGAGCTTTGGAGAGAAGTGTTTAAAAGATTACAGCAGGCTTCAATTAAAATCCCGTCAACAAAAGCCCACAAGGGAAATCCTGGCCCTGTAATATTTTTCATCAATGGCATCTGGGATTATAAAATACAGAAAGCCCTGCCAATGGTAGATGTGAAGGATTTAAAAAGTGCTCTAGTGTATACCATGAAATTTGTGGCAGCCGAGCTAGTAATTCCTAAAGACCTACGCCCATGAGCTGCTCAAGTCCAAAAGCCAGTGGCTCAGACAATTGCTCATCTATTGAGTAGACTTTGGAGAATGGAGATCTTCACACAAGCTTCGCTCTTTAGTTGCAATTTGCATTGCACTGTGTTTAACATTCTTAACAGTTTGAACTGTAATTGCTGATTGTACTTTGTGATACTGAGAGCTTTGTGTACTGATTGCACTTTGTGCTACTGTATGAATATATATAGATATATATATATATATAGTGGAAAGTTTTAGGGCTGTAAAGTGTTTCTTTTGATAAAAATAAATTTTATCAAGCTCACATTCGGTTCTGTGTGCATTCAATCTATTACAAACCCATATGCATGCAACAATATTTTAAAGAATAAAGTGCTCAACATTAATTGAAAACAGCTTCCTAACTCATATCAATGGTTTTTTATAATGATGTATAATGCATTCAGAGAAAAACAGTATTACCTGTATTCATAATTTCCTGTTTCCACTCTATACAATGGTTCTTGCAAAGCTTGGTAAGTGTATTCTTCATCATCCATTTCCTTGACTTTTAAACAGTATGACTACAATAAAAATTAAAAAATTAAGTTGTAAAAAAAAGAAGAAAAAAGTTATTAATCAAGATGACAGTTTTTCAACCCATTTTGGCTCAGTGCTCTTTACTTCAATGATGAAATTCAGCTGACACGCATAAATACAGTCATAATAGTTATTAACATTTTCAAAGCTTAATATAGCAGTTTTACAGAATTTAATTTTATGAAATTTCTATCAAATAAATAAATATATAAGGAAAAATATGAAAGCTTTCAGATTTTACATTAAGGCATTTTTTAACGTTTTCTGTGTTATTTTTATTTATTAAATATCGTGCTCTTTGCAATTAAACCATAAAATTCAATTCAACAGCAGCACCTCAAATTAATTTTAAAAATGAGCATATCTTTAGAATTTCCGATACTTAAGTCTCACTCACTGGAGATATTTTTCCCCCTCGTACATTGTTGCCTTAACTCTCTTTGAAATCGTTGAGTTTCTTAACAAAAAATATGCCGGACGTGATTTGGGATTACTGCGAACTTTCTTATGGAATATGAACCTTTCTTTGTCTTAGAAGCTTCAGATTCACGACCATGGAATTGAGGCAGGTCCCTTTAGATTCAGTTCTTGAAGTGTTATGATTTTGTATGTGATAGGAAGTTTTGAATTTATAGTGGTGATTTGATTATTTAGTTGATGTAAATTAATTTGAAATTTAGTTTTGAAAACAGAAGTAGTTTATGCAAACATGGTGAAACAAGTTGAAAGGTTAAAGCAGAAACGAAACTGCATTAGGCAGCTTTTTCTTGTATTCTTTTGACAAAAATTGAAGACAAAATAAATAAAAACTTAGTGAAAGTGTGAACTAAAGTGAAATTTACAGTAAAGAACAAAAACTCTATGATCTTTATGATCAAAGAAACCAGTTGATTGAAAAGATAAAGAATCTTAAGGGTTTAGATAGTGAAATAGAAGCGATAATAGGTATAGATGATTTAGAAAACGAAACTGTTGAGAGTGAAGAACACACAGGAATGAGGATATGCTAGGATGTATAGATCCGGCACTGTGCTGCGTATGTTATTTCATAATTTTTATTCAATCATGTTGTTACTGTTTATCAATAAATAATCAAAAGACAACTGCTGTGAATTAAATGACTCAATACTTCAGAACAAAGATACCCCAAAATTGTTAAAGTGTTACAAAATATTAAATCGATAATAAAACAATTTCCAAGCTTCCAGATGCCTATATTCAGAGGAGGATTATGTTATTCAAAATTTTATGGCTCTAGGTACCGTTGTTTTATCACAATGCAAGAAACATACATACATTTATGCAGATTCTTCATTATTTAATTTCTTTAAATATGACACAGGGTGATAATATTTGGTGGCAACAGTTTGAAAAGTGATACAAACATTTACAGAATTGAAGCAAAATGCCAAAACGAAATTAAGAGCCCTTCTGAGCTAAAGCGCCTTTGGGCTAAAAAAGTGAATATTTTTACAACATTCAGGAAAAATAAAAAGGACTACACCACAGTACACAGATTACAATTTCTTATAGCAGCTAATCACAACAACTGACACATGCAGAGTGAAGAAACCAGTGCATTTCTTATCTTACTTTCTTTGCAAAATTTACCACCCTTATCAACAACCATTTTTATAGAATTCTATATGATGTTAAACATGCTCAAAACTGACATCTTGATAAAGCATCACACACCTTTAATGTATAATCGGCGACTGAGCATTACACGCCTTCAGTATTTTTCAGTTGTTCAGATAAATGTACAGGATGGCGCTATGAAATTGTTTTGAATAAAATTGGAATTGGAAATTGAACTATTTTTCTCCATCCCCCTGTTGAAAGCAAACTAATTCAATCTGACTGTTCTAATACTTTGGCTATTTGGCCTGGATTACTTCATTTTTACTAAATTTCTAATTTTTTTTTTCCATTGGTTCTCAACTTTTTCTTTTGTATTTTTGTATAACTTTGGAAGGTTATAACTTTAGTATTTAATATTATTTAATTGCAAGATATATAATAAAGAGATAATTAAATCAAAAATTAGATCAGCAAAGTAGTCAACCAACTAATAACTTATTAATTTAAAATTTTTAAACTTTTTATACATTGTATATTCTAGCATTTAACGTGCACTTCTAATATAAAAAATAAGAACGAAATTTAGGGGTGCACATTATATGCTGGATATAAAAATAATACATTGAAATATATGGAATAGATAAGTACAAATACAAAAATTAGATTTCTGCATGTACCTAAATATTTTTTATTTAAAAGAAATAGCATATTATGAACTTATGGAACTTAAAAACTTTCATTACAGGATAACATGAAAATTTCATGATATTAGTCTTCCATTACATTTTCAAGCACATCATTGAATTCTGTTTCATCTTCACCATTACTGTTGTTCTGATCCATAAATGAATAATCACCTAAATTGTGAGACATACAACACTTTTTAAATGATTTTTGAATTACGTCAGGTTTAATTTCATTCCGTGCTTTTATCATCCACTCACACACTGTTTCTAGATTAACATGATGCATTCGGTCTCCTTCTGTAATTTTTTTTTCACTTTTTTACTTCCATCTATTACACTGTTGTTTTAAATTATCTTTGAATGATTTATTGATACACACATCTAAAGGCTAAACTAATGACACTAATCTACCTGGAATAACTGTCTGGTCTGTCTCTTTCAATAAATTCTTTGTATTATCATTAGATGATATCTGAATATGCCCCAAACTAAAAGACTTTCTTGATTCTTTAAGGTGACACGCTACTTTTGCAAAACAATTCTTATCCACAATTTTATACCATTTTTGGCCATCTATCCTTTCCAGTGAATATGAATGAAAGCACCATTTGGAAAATCACATTTCAGCATCATCTTTCTTTCAAAAATAACCATGGGCTTTAATTTTGTACCGTCTATGAGGCAGGAAAGCCCTACAGTGAGGTAAGACTTTTTGCAACCTGTTGTTTTTATGTGAACCAGCTTTGTTTCTTTCACATCAATTTTTTACATCCTGTCATATCAAATATTATTGGAGTTTCATCCATACTTTCAATGTCACAGTAAATAATTTTTTTGCCTACACAGGTCAATAACATACTTCTGAAAACTTATGAATTTGTTGTAAAAATCTTTAAGAAGCCTTTGCTTTTTCTTGCAAAACTAAATTATTCCATGCCATAAAACGACACCAGCGGCCAAGTGATAAAGTCACTGAATACTGGTAGTTCGGCCCGGGGTTCACATTCTAGAGAATGGGCTGGCTGCATAAGCGTTTTCATGGTTTCCACTATGTATAACTTGTGTACGAACCAGTTTCCTTTAGAAAGTCCTCTACGAAGGCATCCCTTCCCTTAGGCACATAGCCCTCAAGTAGTTTGCCATAATTAAATCAACCAAACCAATCAATGCTTTAAACTTTTCACTTTCATTTGCATCTTTTGGGGAGGGTCTTATTTTAAGGTAAACGTATGCCATTTCTTGCTACAATTAATCTATTATGACGATTTTCAAGGATCCAGTTCACAACATTTTCTTCTAGGATAGGCAATTTCATTTCTCTTTTATCAAAACACATTTATTCTTAGACATATTAATTATTGTTATTTCCTTTTTCTTCCATTCATGTATGAAGCTTTCACCAAGGCCAAACATGCTTGCTCCATCATGATTCATATTTTCTTTTGCAAACTGAATGACTTTGCATTTGAAACCAGCGTTGTGTTTGTTTTGTTTGGCAGTAGACATATTTATTACTAAAAAGAACACTAGATGAATTGCATTTTAACTAAAGCTTTCGATGTTCCCTCCAAAATCAGGACTTCAAATAATTACAGAAAGAGAAAACACCTGACTAACTCCCCGAATTCATTCGGGTTGGAAGTGAATTCTTACACCAAATTATGTCACCCCCTTTTCTCGAAACCCTAGGTAACATTCTTGTGCACACCTGCATTGCATACAACCCACGCTCTTTCAGAATTAGTTACTCCCTCAAGCCTTTTTGGAAGTTGATCTGTCAGCACTATCCTTATCTTCAGGGCAGATGTTTTTATTTTATTCGGCTTATAATTCCTTACTAAATGTAGTACTTCATCCTGATGTACTCCACCTTTGATATGATTTAAATCAAATTCCTCATCATTATAAATATCACGAATACACATCAAATAGTTTTCTGATTGCAATTTTCTAATTTTGCACTTGAAAGAAATGTTTAATAAAGTAAACAAATAAATATTAAGCTTTTTTTTTTTTTTTTTTTTTTTTTTTTTTTTTGTAATTTTGATACCCTTTAGATCATAATTGCTCTTTATTTCATAAATTACGGTTTCATATTTTTAATTTTATAATTTCTGCATGCCATCTTACCAGATTTAAACTGATGATCTATTATCTGGAAAAACTGATAATCCAGAATCGCCGAAGTCCCGACGAGTCCGGATTAAAGACTTTTGACTGTATCTAGTTCGAGTCAGGGCAAGCTCCAGAGTATTCGGTGACATAAGCAAAATTAATGCGACACCCTCTTCGTATATATCATGTTTTGGTACATATGTTTAACCCTCAATACGGTAAAAGTATGCAAGTATTTTTTTCTACATTTAAAATATTTTGTTAGTATAGTTTTGCCAAACACACACACACACACACACACCAAAAAAAAAAAAAAAAAAAAAAAAAAAAAAGAGATTTGCTAATTAAAAAGAAAAAAAAAATCTTAATGTATTTTTTATAATTTTTACATTGCATGATATAATAAGAGACCTAGATATCACCAAGCATTTCGAAATAAACGAACAGCAAAATTTCACAATACAGTAATTTTTACCAATAGTAAATTAATGATATGAGAAAATCAAAATGCAATTTGGTATCAAGAAAGCAAATTAAGTAGGATATAAGGCTATATTTGTTTTAGAATTTCAGATTTAAATTCTTTACAATAAATATTGTAT